TCCTTAAAAAAATATTCTTTAAAAAATCCACATCTGTTGGTCTTTAAAAAATATTCTTAAAAAAATCCACGTCGGTTGGTCCTTGAAAAAATATTCTTTAAAAAATCCACGTTCTGTGTGTCCTTGAAAAATATTCTTTAAAAAATCCACGTCTATTGGTCTTTGAAAAAATATTCTTAAAAAAATCCACGTCTATTGGTCCTTGAAAAAATATTCTTTTAAAAATCCACGTCTGTTGGTCCTTGAAAAAATATTCTTTAAAAAATCCAAATACACGTCCGTTGGTCTTGAAAAATATTCTTTAAAAATTCGCGAATGTTCGTCCTTGACAAAATCTTCTTAAAAATCCACATTTTGTTAAATATCCCAAATTGATATTGCATTTCTTCTAAACCAAATATTGACCAATATTTCTACTGCTGAACTGCTTGAGAATAAACACTAGAAATGACTATTTGATTTGTCTTATTGCGATTTCATATTTCTTTTTCACTTTGTGTGGACTTTTGCCCTGCGTTTCCGTTATACTTATTATTATCAATATTTACTTTGATTTTTCATCACTGAAGCAAGTAACCAACAACCTCCTTCCTTAGCTACCTACCTACCTTCATGCCAACCACCCCCCAGAGCAAAACTTGTTGTATCAGAAAATTGACATTTCACTGGCCCATGAAGCAAAAATCGACAACCTGTAGGATTGTAGTTGGTCTTTGTGGCATATTCCCTTTAGCAACAAAACATAAAAAGTTTGGTGAAAATAAAAACAATTCATTTCGAAATGAAGTTCAGAGGCACACCTTACATTTTGAGAATTTTTTTAATTTGATTGAGGTGTTGGTAACAAAAACATAAGAGGCTCATAGAGAGCATTCTACTCAACAAACAATTGGAAAACACAATACAATACACAATACCACCAATACAACTTAAATAAATCTATATATAAAAGAGTAGTGAAATAACTGATTGTCTAAGAATCAACGCCCAGATGAAACAGCTGAAGCTAGAATCTTGGAATTTTGCACGAGGATCGATCTTGGTGCGTAGCCGTGTAATAGGAGGTACTAAAAGAGGTACGAAAAGTCAAAAAAAAATTAATTCTTTGCATAGGACAAACGGAATTAGATAGTCTTCTAAAATTTAAAATTTCGTACTACAAGGGGCACGAATAGTACTAAATAATTACTTTGTATTGGACAAACGGAATGAGCTAGAATTCTGAAATGTGGACTGAGAGTCACTGATTTAGTTCGGGATAGAAATACCAAAAGGTTTTTGGAACTTCGTACTTTAAGGTTACGAAAAATTTTTAATGTGGCACTAAACTTCTTAAATTGTACCATTTGGTATTATGTGAACGGATGGAGCTAAAAACTTGAAATTTGTTCTAAAAATCAAGCTTGGAAAGTCTATTTGACATATGAAGGTGGTTTTGGAAATGTGTACTAAGTGTGCGAACTAAACAGTTTGGTTTAGGGTGAATGGATTTTGAAATTTTGTATTAGAGTCCCTTTTGGTGATAGGTTTGTCATAAAGAGGTAGTTTTGGTAATGTGTACTACAAGATTACGAAAACTACTAAATAGTACCCTATTTGGTACCCTTTGGTATTGGGATAGTGCCTGAAATCTGAAATTTGGTATTTGGATTTCAGGTGTCTCCTGGACATATGGAGATGGTTTCAGAAATGAGTACTATAATTGTGCGAAATGTACCGAATGGTACTATGTTTGGTATTGGTTGAAAAAATAGAGACACAATTCTGAATTTTGATATTTAGATTACTTATGGTGTATCTGTGCTGGGGATTTTTCGTTAGTTTGGAAATGCGTCCTTCATTTGTACGAAAAGTACTAAATGGTATAAAATTAGGTATTGGGTGAAGGGGTAGATCTGGAATCCTCAAATTTTATATCGAGATCTCTGTTGATATCTGGAATTGAGATATGGTTGTGATTTTGGAAATGTGCACCATAATTATTCGAAAAGTACTATATGGTACTAAATTTGGTATTGGGTGAAGGAATAGAGCTGGAATCCCGAAATTTGATATGTCATTATTGGTATCTACGGTTAAGATATGGAGGTAGTGTACTATAATGGTTCGAAAAGTACTAAATTGAGTGGGGCATAGAGCTGAAATCCTCAAATTTAATATAAGGTCACCGTTGATATCTGAGGTTGTTTTGAAAATAGGTACTATATTTGTACGAAAAGTACTAAATCGTACCACATTGATTATTGGGTGAAGGGATAGGCAGGTATCGTCAAATTGATATTGAGGTCCCTGTTGATGATGTCTGGAATTGATTTAAGGAGGTTTTTTGGAAACTTGATACTAAATTTGGTATTGGGTGAAATCATAGAGCTGAAATCCTGAAATTTGATATTGAGATCTTTTTTGGTATCTGGAATTGAGATAGGGAGATGGTTTCGGAAATGTGTACTATAATTGCACTAAAAATACTAAATGATACTAAATTTGGCCTTGGGTAAAAGGATAGGGCTGGAATCCCCAAATTTGATATTAAGATCACTAGTGGTATTTGAGGTTGAGATATGGAGGTGGTATTAGAAATGTATGCTATAATTGTTCGAAAAGTACTAAGTGGTACGAAATTGATTATGCGTTAGAGGTATAGAGCTGAAATTTGATATTAAGGTCACTACTGGAATCTAAGGTTCCGATATGGAGATTGTTTTGAAAATACACACCTTAACTGTACGAAAAGAAATGCTAGTAAATTTGGTATTTGGTATTTGAGGTAGTTTTGTTTTTTGAACAATTCTGTTTCAGGACATGTTAATGTGGGAAATATGAAGAGAGCTGTATGCTTATTTCGGATTTTATAATCGTTTTTGTTATTCAAAAAATATTTTAATTTACACAAGGTCTGGTGTGAAGATAAAATATATCGGTCCACTTCTTTTGGTACCTCCCCCACAAAGGGTCAAAATTTTGAATAGTCGTGAAGCTCATAAAACTTGAAATAAACATTCGATTCTATTCAGACTTAGTACATCTCAATATTTCTATCAACACAAGATCTTTTATAAAGTTGGTAGAGATCGGACCATTTCTTCTAGTACCTCCCCTACGAAGGGTCAAAGTTTTAAATAACCAAAACGATTATAAAATCCGAAATAACCGGTTCTCCTAATATTTCACACACCACAATATTTTTAATAACCCAAGGTCTGGTGTAAATATGGAATATATCGATCCACTCCTTCTCGTACCTCCCCTACAAAGGGTCCAAATTATAAACATCCGTGAAGCTCAGACTTGAGTGATAAATAAATATTTAATCAAAACAAGATGTATTTTAAAGATGGTAAAGATCGGAACATTCCTTCTGGTACCTCCTTTATAAAGGGTGAAAGTTTTGAATAACAAAAATGATTGAAAAATCCGGTTCTCTTCATATTTCACATATTCCATTATTTTTATTAATCTTCTGGAACCTAACCCACAAAGGGTAAAAATATTGAATATCCGTGAAGCTCATAAAAAGAGAAATTAACATCCGATTCCATTCAGACTTGGCACCTCTCAATATTTCCATCAACATAAGATCTGTTATAAAGATAGTAGAGATTGGACCATGTGTTCTGGTACCTCCCCCACATAGGGTTCAACATTTTGAAAAACAAAACGCTCAAACAAAGCATCGAACTCTCTTCAAATTCCCCACATAAAAACACAAGATCTGTTGTGGAGATGGTATATATCTCCTTCTGATACCTCACCCACGATGGATGGGTCACCATTTTCAATAATTTTATCTGTCATAAATTGCGAAACAAGTCAGCGATTTTACTAAAAAATATCACATATCTCATATAAATTGAATGAAGTAACCAATATAGTCGAAACATTGCATGTCGCAATATTTATATCATTTTTATCTAGGTCCGATACGAAATGGACAATATTGGCCCATTCTTATTTAAATAATCGAACATTGGCTGAGGGTATACATAACTTGTTTTTTTTTTAATTTTCCTATAGATCATAAAATCGCCCTATATATCTTATACCCCCTAAAGTCGCCTTTAGTAGCTCATCGCAAAGCCGTTCCTGCCGAAGATTTTCTTTTTACTCATGTTTTTTATTTATTATAATATTGTTGTTTGTTTTAGGGATTTTCAAGATTTTCATATGAATGTTGGAAATTGACTACTGCTTGTGCTATTGCTGTAGTTGTTGTTGTTTTCAGTATTATGCGTTCGTATAATTTTATTTACATTTATTTTGCGCATCACTGAATATTTTTATGATTTTCATCCACTTATTGGGTTGGTCCGTCGGTTGGTTTGGCCCTTTCCGTTTGCCTTCCGTTGTGTCCTTTCTGCTCGCTGATAAGAGGAAACTGTTGTCCATGTTGTAGTCCTACCACTACGTTCATTTCTTTTTCAATTTGATGATGCTGTAACAACACGTGTGTCCCCTGGACCGACGACGACTTATCCTCAAATGGAAAATCTAAATTTCAAATTGATTATTGATTCGCCGTCCTCCGTTTTTTTTTTTCTCGGCTTCGTTTATTTCCGTCGAAATAGCAATCCTGCGGTTGGATATGTCAAAACTGACATGCAACGAATATGGCTTTCTCCCTCTCCCTCTTTTTTTATTTTTTCAATTACACAACTTTTCCAAATCATCAGCTATATATTTACAGGCCTGCGGTCAGAAGATGATGACGATGATGATTAAACCTTGCAGATAATATTAAAAATAAACCTGAAATGTCTTGATATCCTCGGATGTAGATTTGTTGTGGGAGGTGATGGGGGATTGTGAAGTTTGGTTAAAACCAATTTAAATATATTTCAAAAAAAAAGTGAAGCACAGGAAGTTTGAATAAATAGCGGTTAACCATAACGAAGTGGCTTCTTAGCACTTCATGGAAGGGGGCGGAATTGGCCAAGGGGATAAATAAAATAATACTCCCACAATTTTTAATAAAATATTAAAATTTTGGTAGCGGAACTTACCTTTGAATTTGCATCGGTAATAGCTGTAAGAAAAAAATGTTGTTTGTTAATATTGTCAAGCTATTAGAAATAGAGGCCTGATTTTGATTGGCAGTAGATAAAACTTCAAAAATAGCAAAATGGGGAAAATATTAACCCTATGGTAGGTGAGGTCCAGAGGAAAATCCCCGGAAATTAAAATGTTTTTCCTATCTGATTATATAAATTATTTATCAACGATTACTTCCAAAAACGGCTTCTAAAAATATTAAAAAATCAACGTTTTGTTTTAATGCCCTCAGATATGGCTAGAGAGAATATGTATCATTTGATACGGCTAAAACGTGCCTTATCGAAATAACGGTTTTACACCCTAGGTCTCTTTGGGCCAAATCCGTTTCAGGACATTTTGAGTCGATGCCCGTCCGTCTGTCTATCTATCCGATTTGATCCAAACTTGGTACATCGTAATATTATTGTCGAAGTTATATCGAGATCGGTCCACTCTTTACACACACATCACAATATTTTTATTAACCCAAAATCTGTTGTAAAGATGGAATATATCAGTCCACTCCTTCTAGTACCTCCCCCACAAATGGTCAAAACTTTGATTAACCATGAATCTCATAAAACACGAAATAAATGTCCGATTTCATTCAGACTTGGCACATCTGAACATTCCCATAAACACAAGATCTGTTATAAATACAGGGTGAGAAAAAAAATTTGCAACAAAGCCAAAGGCGTAATTTTTACATTCTTTTTTAAATTTTATTGAATGAAAGCAAAAAATGTCGGAAATAGCATAACATTTTAGAATAAGTTTAGATATGTTCGAATTGGTTACCTTTGCCACGAATTATGGCCTTGAAACGGGCAAAGAAAGCGTCACACGTTGCCCGAATGTTGCTCCGCGGTATTTTCGTCCATTCCCGGCGAAGCGCTTGCTTGAGGTGATCGACACAATAGTCCAACGGATTGGTTTCCAGAGATTTTGGTGGCCATTGTGCGCTGGAAATGAAGCGAGGAACCTCATTTTGTAAACATTCTTGGGCGGCGCGTGCTGAATGCGATGGTGCTAAGTCCTGTTGGAATGTCCAAGGACTGCGGCCAAAATGCGTTTGCGTGCCCAAGGCTTTAATACACCCTCCAGAATATTATCGCAATAATATTCGGAATTTATTCCGATGTCACGGTCGATTAATAGGAGCGGAGAGCGACAATCGGCTGTTATGGCGGCCCACACTATCACCATGCCCGGCGCTTGAGTTCTGGTGGGCAACCGAAGGTGCACATTTTCAGCTGACGATGTTTTCTCATCGGAGAATACCAAATTCGACAGTTCACCACTTGCGGCCAAGCGAAGCAACTCTTTAGCTCTTTTGATTCTATTTTCTTTCTATTGCGGAGTAAGTTCTTGTACTGTTTGGAATTTCAATGGCTTTACCCCGAGCTCATTTTTCAATATTTGCCGAATGGAATATTGCGATATGTCCAGCTCACGAGCCATTTTTCGGTCACTGCGACGCGGGTTTCCATCAAGTCGCTTCTTTACTTTTCGAACCATTTCCGCTGATGTTTCTGTTTTCTTCCGTCAACTTCCTCGACATCAGGCTACGCTACCAGTATCACGGTATCGAGCGATGGTACGAGACACAAAAGATTTATTCACATTTAAATGCCGGAGTGCTCTAACGATAGGAACTTGTGGTTTTCCAGCCAAATATAAAGTAATCACACTATCACGCTTGGTTTTCATCACGAATAACTTTTTTTCGTACGCTTGTAAACAATGTAATGAGCTGTGACTGGACACAGCCGCCTGTATAGTAGATATCGGACCATTCCTTCTGGTACCTCCCCCACAAAGAGTCGAAGTTTTGAATAACCAAAACGATAATAAAATCCGAAATAAGCATCTAGTTTTCTTCATTTTTCACACATCCCATTATTTCTACGAGCACAAGATCTGTTGTGAAGATGATATATATCGGCCAACCCCTTCTGGTAGCTCACCCCCAATACTTGATCTATCATAACTTGCGAAACAAATCAGTGATTCTCTACAACTTGCTATATCTATATATATCTCTTAACCAGAAATCTGATATGAATATGTAATTTGTCGGAATCTATGATTGCACATAAAAGTGTGTATAAATGTTCGATTTCCTTCAAATTTTGCCCATACCAATATTTTTATCTGTATTAGATGTAGTATGAAAATGGTATACTTCGATCCGCTATATCTGTTACCTCGCGCATATTTCCACATTTTACCAGAATTTGCACATATCTCATAAAAAGTATTGGAAGTAGTCAATATAGTCCAAATCTGGCACGTTGTAATACTTTTATCAGTCTTAGGTCAGATACGAATTGGACAATATTGGCCAACTGTTTCGGAACCTCCCCCATAAAAGGGTCAAACATTTGAAAAATCATAACCCCCAGCATAAATCTGTCGGCAAGACCGACTGATACTATTTTATTTGTTTTAATGTCCTTCAGCTAAAATAAATAAATAAAAAGCACGATCGCTCGAAAATGTAAGATTTTTAAAAATATTTTTCCAAAGGAGATTTTTCTTCAAAGAATTTAAAAATTGCGGTTTTGAAATATTTTTTTTTAAGAATTAAATGGCCTGAAAGTCGCTTACTTTAAGAAGAAGAAAAAAACATTTTTTTAAGTAAGAACTGGGTACTTAAGGACATTTTTTTTTTTTTTTTTGAGAACAAACTGTCCTATAATTCCTGGATTTTCCACAATTTTCTTCTCAATGATCAACTGGCCTAAAAACTTGTATTTTTATTTTCAAAGACCAACATTAATTTAAAACCTGAATTGCTAATATTTAATATAATGACTAACAGAATAACCAATATTCTGTGCCTTCTGCGAGTTATACTACATTAGACGTTTTTTGTCTATCATTTTGATTTCCTGTTTTGTACAATTCTAAATCGGATTTCCATTTTAGTCTAGAAACTAAAAAAATTTAAATTTACATCCTATACACCTTAAGCCATCCTCCCACTAAAAACACCCGTAAACGTGCTACCGCAACATCCCAACCTACGACTCGAAACGAAAATATTCTGAAATATAGCGAATTAACGCTCAAGGAAATCAGAAGAGAAAAAAAATATCAAATTTCGATGAAGCTTTTTTATACTCCCGTTGCATCTGGGCAACCACGTCTTTGATTAGCACACAACCAAACACACACACGCACAGACACCCAAATAAATCGCTTATCAACTCATCAACATCTACGTCTTTATTATCCGTCGGCGAGCTGAATGGACAGAGGCAAAATTATAAATTATGGATCAACGCCATCGGTAACAAGAGTATCGATGTCAGGCTGCTGCTCCTGGTGTTGGCTGAGACATTGTTCCCTGGCATCGATTATTGGAGATATTTCACACTCCAACCACCGGATGGAAAAAACACTGAAGACGACGAGAAGTGTAATTTTCAATCAACACTAGATGGTAGCTGCTAGTCATGTTTTGAATGGAGGCGCCTTCGGCCATAAATCTACCATTGAAAGTAGCTTAGCGTGCGTGTGTGGGTTTCTTTTTTTGTAATCGATACTTTATCAATTCTGTGGTAAACTCGAAATAAATGAAAATATAGCGGAATAGATGGAAATTTTCACACGACTTTTGAACTTTCGAGCTCAAGATTAGCGTTATTTGTTTCTCACAATAATTGGAAAACTGATGTCAATGGCAACAAAGGGGGGTGGGAGGAGGATATAGGAGGTTCTGAAAATTACTAAGATAATTTTTATACGAAAATTTGGGTATGGGAAATATTTGAAGAGGTAAGAGAGAAGCAACACGTGTAAATGAGTTCTGTGTGGAAAACCGACCAAAATCCCAAGAATTTGCTTTTATCCTTACAATAAGCTAGAGTCCTGGATTTGTTGGCTATTCTCAGAATTAATTTCAACAAAGATTGGAAAAGCCAATTTCGAAGGTAGGTGAAGTGATGGGAAGTTGAGAGTCTTCTGTCTAGAAGAGTCGAAGGTCGCCTTTATAGACAAATCGTCTTCATAGACGAGGTCGTCGTCTTCATGGACAAGATCGTCGTCTATATAGACGAGTTTGTCGACTTCAAAGACGAGGTCGTCGACTTCAAAGACGAGGTCGTCGTCTTTTAAAGAGGAGGTCGTCGTCTTTATAGACGAGGTCGTCGTCTTTATAGACGTGGTCGTCGTCTTTATAGACGTGGTCGTCGTCTTTATAGACGTGGTCGTCGTCTTTATAGACGTGGTCGTCGTCTTTATAGACGAGGTCGTCGACTATATAGACGTGGTCGTCGTCTTTATAGACGAGGTCGTCGACTATATAGACGAGATCGTCGTCTATATAGACGAGATCGTCGTCTTTATAGACGAGGTCTTGGTCGTCTTTATAGACGAGGTCTTGGTCGTCTTTATAGACGAAGTCTTGGTCGTCTTTATAGACGAGGTCTTGGTCGTCTTTATAGACGAAGTCTTGGTCGTCTTTATAGACGAGGTCTTGGTCGTCTTTATAGACGAGGTCTTGGTCGTCTTTATAGACGAGGTCTTGGTCGTCTTTATAGACGAGGTCTTGGTCGTCTTTATAGGCAAGGTCTTGGTCGTCTTTATAGACGAGGTCTTGGTCGTCTTTATAGGCAAGGTCTTGGTCGTCTTTATAGTCGAGGTCTTGGTCGTCTCTATAGACGAGATCGTAGTCTTTATAGACGAGATCGTCGTCTTTAAAGACGAGGTCGTCGTCTTTGTAGAAGAGGTCGTCGTTTTTGTAGAAGAGGTCGTCCTTTTTGTAGAAGAGATCGTCGTCTTTATAGACGAGGTCGTCGTCTTCATAGACGAGGTCGTCGTCTTCATAGACGAGGTTGTCGTCTTCATATACGAAGTTGTCGTCTTTATAGACGAAGTTGTCGTTTTTATAGACGAGGTCGTCGTCTTTATAGACGAGGTCGTCGTCTTTATAGACGAGGTCGTAGTCTTCATAGACGAGGACGTCGTCTTCATAGACGAAGACGT